GGGAGAGGGGAAGGGGAAGAAGGAGGAAGAGGAGGAAAGAAGAGGAGGAGGAAGAGGAAAGAAGAGGAGGAGGAGAAGGAGGGAGAGGAGGAGGAGGGGGAGGAGAAGGAGGAGGAGGAGGGAAGAGAAGAGAAGAAGAAGGAAGAAGGACTTTGCAGGTGACACACAAAATTAGATGAAAAGAATAAGGGGCCCTTAAAGGGGGAAGAAAAAAACGGGAAGTCCAGATGGAGAAAGATTCCTTAGCTGATAGCTAGGGGATGCTGTGAGGGGTCCCTGAGGGTCTAGAACAGGACTCTCCTGCCCAAGGGGAGAACCAGGATGGATTGCGGAGGGCTAGTAGGCTAGGAGGGTGCAGTGGTTCTCTTTAAAGAAAAATCTCAGGACCCTTTATATTCTTGAGTTATAGAGGACTCCAAAGAGCTTTTGTTTGTGTGTTATATATGTCCTTTTAATCATATTTAAAATTAAAACTGAGAAATGTTGAAAATGGTCATCTGTTCATTAATTTAGAAATAATAGCTGGGTGTGGTGACTCATGCCTGTGGTCCCAGCACTTTGGAAGGCTGAGGCAAGAGAATCGCTTGAGCTCGGGAGTTCGAGATCAGCCTGGGCAACATGGCAAAACCCCATCTCTCTAAAAAAAAAAAAAAAAAAAAATTAGCCAGGCATGGTTGCATGCGCTTGTACTCCCAACTACTCAGGAGGCTGAGATGGAGGATCGCTTGAGCCTGGGTGTGCGAGACTACAGTGAGCCGTGATCATGCCACTGTATTCCAGCCTGGGCGACAGAGTGGGACCTTGTCTCAAAAAAAAGGAAAAGAAAAGAAAAGAAAAAAGACATAACAATCATAAACTCATCTGTTTATATGGTTAAAAGAAAACCTTACACAAATTAAATTTAACAGAGTTTAATTGAACAGTTTGAGAATCGGGCAGCCTCCTCAGCCAGAGTAGGCTCAGAGACTCCAGCACAGCCACGTGGTGGAAGAAGATTTATGGACAGAGAAAGAAAAGTGGCATACAGGAAACAGAAGTGAGGTATAGAAACAGCCAGATTGGTTACAGTTCCATATTTGCCTTATTTGAAAGCAGTGTCAAGAGTTGACCTCCTTTGGCCAAAATCCAATGATTGTCACAAGAGTAGGTCACAGTCTTGTTTACACATCTAGGTAGGTTACAATTTACTAAGTACAGAATAACCTTTAGGTCAAGCTTAAACTATGTAAGGAGGCAGCTTTAGGCTAAATTCGATTTAACAATATTAATGACATATTTATGATAAATAACTATATTTTCAAAACAAAACATATTTGGTGGGAAGAATGGAATCACTGCAGGACTTTTCCTTAGTTCAGCTAAAGATAAGGCTCTTGTCCATCCCACAGCCACAAAAGTTTAGGCTTGCAGATGGTTTAAAGGGTGAGTAAAGCAGGGTTTTATTAAGTGAAAATGGGAAATAAAGGGTTGGGGGGAACAGGGATCCTCTGCAAGGCCAGAGTCCCCTGCTAGAGTGCTTCCCACCAGGCTGCTCGAATCCCAGGTTCACATAGGAAAAGGAGGCACCAGGCTTTTCCCTGCTGCAAACTCCTGAGGCTCCACCCCAGTGGGCAGGCTGGTTGGAGTTTCTCCAGGGACCCCCTCCCATCTGGCTGTCAAATAATTATTTTAGAGTTTTATAAAACTCTGAGAAATAAAAATGAAATCCTAAGTTGCCCAGCTGACTAAACGGATACACCACCTCTTGGCCAAGGGGACCCCAGAGAAACCTTGAAAACTGAGTTCCTGCCATGATGTGTTGTTGTACCGCCTCTCCATTGCTAAACACCATTAGGATTTCCTTCCTACAGGTTAAACAGAAATCAGCCCTTTGGAAGGACGAGCTGCACCGCTGATATCAACCCCTTCTGACACTGCCCCTTCCTTTTGCATTTTCTGCACAACTAACCAGCATTCCTTCCTCATAATAGACTGCCCACAATGGAGTGGTTCTGGCCAGTTTACAGAGGATGCACAGTGAGGGTTTCTGTGTCCTCTGTTTCACCTTTTGATGTCAGGGGACAGAAAACTCCACCCTCTGATCATGCTAATGCTGCCAATTTTTGCACATGCATCCCATGGAGAGGCATGAAACTCAACTGAGCATGTGCATGTTTCTCCTTTCATGACTATTCATGACTCCTCCTATAGTTTATTGAATACATATATTTGGTCATCCTATTCAACATAAATGCCCGTCTTATTCTTCTGACCCTCAGTGTCTGTTTTTGGCTTCTGGCCAGAGACTACATTTCTCAGCCTGTCAGAATGACCACCCTGCAGGCTGCAATCTTTTAGGAGAAATAAAGCTCTTCTTTGCAAATTTATTAATCTCAGAATTCTTCAGTTGACAACTGTAATGTTTGGCTTAATGGAAAACAGCTGGATTCTTCTACTTGTCTCTTCATTCCATCTGTTGCAATATGTTGTTTTCATTGGAGTATATGAAGAAAACCCAGGCTCACAGAGTTATGTAGTTGGAAGAAGGAGAACATTACATATCTCTGAAGAGATCTGGGGGACCCAGAGGTTCACTTTTTTTTTTTTTTTTTTGAGACAGAGTCTTGTTCTGTTACCCAGGCTGGAGTGCAGTGGCATGATCTTGGCTCACTCCAACCTCCACCTTATGGGCTCCAGTGATTCTCCTGCCTCAGCTTCCTGAGTAGCTGGGATTACAGGTGTGCGCCACCACGCCCAGCTAATTTTTGTATTTGTAGTAGAGACGAGGTTTCACCATGTTGGCCAGGCTGGTCTCAAACTCCTGACCTCAAGTGAACCACCCGCCTCGGCCTATCAAAGTGCTGGGATTACAGGCATGAGCTGCCGCTTCACTTTGAAAGCTGTTGGGATGAAGACACTCTTCTCATACTCCAGCAACTCCATATAACATCTGTAATGATGGGTGAAAATGTGTAACTCAAAATTAATGCATAAATAATATTTTATAAATTTGTATTCAGTGAGCTATCAATAAAATGTTTTCTCTTTAAAGTTTTGAATTTATTGTTTATAATTTATCAAATAATAAACATATGTTGTTTAGCAAGGTTTTTTTTTTTTTTTTTTTTTTGTTTGAGACAGAGTCTCACTCTGTTGCCCAGGCTAGAGTACAGTGGCATAATCTCAGCTCACTGCAACCTCTGCCTCCCAGATTCAAGCAATTCTCCTGCCTCAGCTTCCTAAGTAGCTGCGACTATAGGCTCATGCTACATGCCCGTCTAACTTTTGTATTTTTAGTAGGGACGCGGTTTGACCATGTTGGCCAGGCTGGTCTCGAACTCCGGACCTCAGATGATCCACCCATCTCAGCCTCCCAAAGTGCTGGGATTACAGGTGTGAGCTACTGCGCCCAGTCCATTGTTTAGCAAGTACTACAAGGCTTGTTTACAAATGTCAAAAGACAAAATTACAATGAATTTAGTTAAATGATCTAATTGGCTTTCATTTGCAATTCATGGATCAGGGCAACATGTCTTCTAAAAATTCAGAAAAGGTACTCCAGTGAGGTGGGCAGAGGAGGTTAGAAGAAAACAGAAACAGGGACCAAAAAGTGGATTGGTCTTTTCAGAGTTACTCTCCTAATACAATTAAAACAGAGAGGACTTCCTTATTATGCCAGTGAAAACTGGCCCGTTTGGGGATTTGCCTATTATTTCTCTCCCCTAATTTCCCAGAAGGTAAGATAAACTACTTAGCTTTGGTTTGGTGACACGGAACTTCAGCAAGAGTGACTCCATTTGGTTTGGTCTATTGGGGCCTGGTGCAGGAACACAGTGCAAATCAATGACCTCTAACAAATTTTATTTGACATAAATAGTAACAGTTCTCCCCTCCTCATGGGCAACCATTTTCAATTTTTCTAGCTGATTATTCTGAGATTTCCCTTAATGTATCTAAACAAAATGAGTTTTCGGGCCAGGTCAGGAGTTCAAGACCAGCCTGGGCAACATGGTAAAACTGTGTCTCTACTAAAAATACAAAAATTAGCCAGGTGTGGTGGCGGGCACCTGTAATCCCAGCTACTTGGGAGGCTGAGGCAGGAGAATCACTTGAACCTGGGAGGCGGAGGTTGCAGTGAGTCGAGATCGCGCTACTGCACTTCAGCCTGGGTGACCATAGCGAGATTCTGTCTCAAAGAAAAAAATAATAAAATAAAAACGACCTTGGTAGTTTGATAGAAATAGCATTGAATCTGTAAATTGCTATGGGCAGTTATGGCCATTTTAACGATATTGATTCTTTAAGAAGATATTAGAATGCCTATGTTATACCAACAACTGTAGTGAGCCCTGGGAACCAAACATGAAAAGATGTGGACATTTACTTTCAGGGAACTTTCAGCCTAATCGTTGCAATGTACCTGAGTCATGGAGTCTGAGCGTCTTGCCCTCCACATCCCCAACAAGGCAAGGTGGATAATTACTAGGACTTTGTTTTTCAGAATGGGAAACCTACCTAAGCTTAAGAACATACCCTAAAGGAATTTTTGAGGAAGTGGAGTAGTGGAGAAGAGAGAAACACGACCAGACAACGGGAATCCAGGAGAGAAAAATGGGAGACAGAGAATAAAAGTGTCCTTAGGAGGTTCAAGTTTTCTGTGCCTGTGTGAGGTAACTCACTCCATGGACACCCTCCCCACCTCCAGCCATTCCTCTGTAAAATTTGTATTTCTTGCTAACACTCTTGGAGTTGGGGTTATTTAGAGTTTATTTGAACAACAATCTTAAACATATAATTATAACACATTTATTTGACATTTATAGAGCCCTAATTGTGTGCAAGGAACTGTGTGAGATGCTGGGGCAACAACAGTCAACAAAGGAGACACACAGTCCTAGCCTCATGGATGGCACAGCCCAGCAGGGGTGACACATGGTAAGTCAGTGCTGGGAAAGACAAACATGAGATATGCTGAGGACATGGAACAATCAAGGGCGTCCAGGCAGAGGCTGAGTGGAGGAGGAGTTTGCAAGGCTGTGCCAAGAACATTTTTCAGGGTAGAATCTACCCCCCAGGCAGAGATGTGGGGAGCAAAGACCAAAATGGAAACAGCACCAGCCAAGTCTCAGAGCCATGTGAGATAGTACAGCACACTTAGGGATCTGGGGATTTGGGATTGTTGGAGTCAAAGTGTTGAGCCTGAGAGGGTAGAAAAGCATAATTATATGTACAGTCAGTGTCTGAACAGTTCAGTCAGAAAAGCACATTTTTCAGGCTAAGAAACTTGGCCTTGGTCCTGCTTACATTTTACAGATAAGAGATTGCCTTTCTGAAAGCTTACTCTGGAGACCATGTAGATAGATGATGGGCCGAGAGAAAAGGAGGAAGGTGGATATAAGAAAGCTCCTGCAAAAATGCAGGTGAAAAATGATGAGGACTTCCACTGGGGATGGGCAGGAGAGGGCAGATTTAAGGGATGTTTGGTGAAACATACAAGGGGAATTGCTGATGGATTGGCAAGAGAAATTCCAGCAGGACAGGCTATGCTGTCTCTGTGGCGGATGCAGGGATATAAGTGAGCTGAGTTTTACACACTCCAAAGGGGCCACTGATCAGGTACTTCGGGATGCACTCCAAGTGTCCTGGCTAATTAAGTGAAACCAAAGATTAAAAGGCATTTCTGGCTGGGTGCAGTGGCTCATTCCTGTAATCCCAGCACTTTGGGAGGCTGAGGCAGGTGGATTACGAGGTCAGAAGTTCAAGACCAGCCTGGCCAAGATGGTGAAACCCCGTCTCTACTAAAAATACAAAAATTAGGCTGGGTGCAGTGGCTCACGCCTGTAATCCCAGCACTTTGGGAGGCCGAGGCAGGCGGATCACGAGGTCAGGAGATCGAGACCACCCTGGCTCACACGGTGAAACCCCGTCTCTACTAAAAATACAAAAAATTAGCCAGGCGTAGTGGCGGGCACCTGTAGTCCCAGCTACTTGGGAGGCTGAGGCAGGAGAACGGCGTGAACCCGGGACGCAGAGCTTGCAGGGAGCCGAGATTGTGCCACTACGCTCCAGCCTGGGTGACAGAGTGAGACTCCATCTCAAAAAACAAACAAACAAATGAAAAAAAAACAAAAACAAAAATTAGCTGGGTGTGGTGGCGGGTGCCTGTAATCCCAGCTACTCGGGAGGCTGAGGCAGAGAATTGCTTGAACCCAGGAGGCAGAGGTGGCAGTGAACCCAGATCGCACCATTGCACTCCAGCCTGGGCGACAGAGCAAGACTCCATCTCAAAACAACAACAACAACAACAACAAAAAGCGAATTTCTTACTGTATACGCAGAAAGTCATGAACTCGTCGTTTTGAACAGCACCATAAATTTACATGAAATTTCAAAACTTCGCCCCTTCTTCCCTTCTCCCTTGCTGGCATGTAGCTGTTTTAGTTTGCAGAAGATAACTACGTGCCAAGAATCCAACTGGACACGGACTAAAATTACTTCAATCTTAGTGTGTACCTTGGAAGTGTAAAGCGATTTTTCCTTGGCAACCTTGCATGGTTAATCCACACAAACTCCATCATTATGAACATGGGTCTTCCTTTAGAGGTGGCAGAAGCATTTGTCAGAATTTGGGGCAAGTATAGCCAGACAAAGCATATTGTAAACCTATAATTTAATGCAAACTGTCAAATTTTAAATTGGCTAAAATATTTTTATAAGGTGTACATAAGATGGAGTAAAATATAAGCATGGTAAGGCACAAGATGAATGGTTCCAGGGAACCAGAATCTACTACGAAGTTAAGTAAAATGAATATTTTGATTACTACGAAGTTAAGTAAAATGAATATTTTGATTACTACGAAGTTAAGTAAAATGAATATTTTGATTAAGTTCAAGGTTGAGTAGAGAATGTCATCCATATTTTGGGGGAAGTCCTCCAATGTGAATATGAAATTACGCTGTGCACGTGAGAACAACACTTGTCATGAATTGAGTGCTTCTCACATCAGGACTGTGTTTTGCCTGTGGGTCCAGGCTCAACATGTTAGATATCTCCATTTTATAGATTAAAAAAAAAAAAAAATGAGGCCAGTGTATCAACAAACAAGAGGCAGAGTTTCAATTAAATTCTAGAATTTGTGATTCAAAAACCCAGGTTCTCTTTTACATACCTCATTGCTTCTTTGCAACTCGAGAGAGCTAAATAAATCATGGTAAGTCATGCCTGCACGTTTTATTTTCTATGTGGCTGAGGGTCTACCCACTCAAGAAGGTAAATATAATAGAAAAAGCTTTCTGATGCACACCTGTGGCACACACCTGTAATCCCAACATTTTGGGAGGACGAGGCAGGCAGATCACTTGAGCCCAGGTGTTTGAGACCAGCCTCGGCAACATGGTGAAACTCCATCTCTACAAAAAACGCACAAATTAGCCAGGTATGGTGGTGCACACCTGTGGGAGGATTGCCCGAGCCCAGGGAGGTCGAGGCTGCCATGAGCTTTGATTGCACCACTGTCCTCCAGCCTGGGTGACAAAGTGAGATCCTGTTTCAAAAAACAGAAAAGAAAAAAAAAGTTTTCTAAGATTGTATTATGCAATTCCTCACCTCCTCCAATATGTTATAGTGAACATTTAATAATCTTTTCCTGGAAACTCATCCTTCACGTTGGTGACTGGACCATACTATAAATGAGGCGATGCTCCCAGGGTCTGCGGTGGGGGGGCGATTGGTCCACACGGTGGTACTTTTCCAGTTTGCTTGTCAGAATATGATTTCGATTCTTCCCCCGGCTGCTGTTCAGGTGTTTGAAGTCCCTTTCCTTCCTTATTTATTTATTTATTTGAGACAGAGTTTGGCTCTGTTGGCCAGGCTGGAGTGAAGCGGCATGATCTCGTCTCACTGCAACCTCCACCCCCAAGGTTACAGCGATTCTCCTGCCTCAGCCTC